TAACGGACCTAAGCCAATTCGGTCTTTGTTCTAATCGATAATTTATTTGAAATAGTGCAGTATTCTACATCGGTGGTGACAGTGGGTCAATTAAAAAGTCTCACATTTCTCAGAGAGTCCAAATCCAACAAAATATAATTCTAATATTTAATACCGTATACGGCTTATAAGCAATTTAATAGACGAAAAACTGGAGTTATTTTTAAGGTCTTCTCAAATGATTACAAGCCAACTTTGTCCGATGGGTGTCTGAAGTGATCTAGTATGCGAAATAAATACTTCAAAAAATCGTATACATGCAGGTTGTGAAGCCATAGCCAGCTCTCCTGTAATGCAAATGTCAATCCGAGGACGGGCTCCGATGTGCCCCGACACAAGTTACAACTTAGGCATATCATACCGCATATGCATATCGGGATTTGTGGGGGGTCGAAAAAATTAATCGATTAATCGACGGACGCACATCCAAATCAATACTTTCATAGAAAACCATGGTCAAACTGCCAAAAATTGACATTTACTCTAAGCGATGCTTTTTGGATTTTTCATTGGAGTATTTGCTCGTAGTATTCGGATGATCGAATTAAGCAAATGAAGCATTGGAATCGTTGTCGATTCTAAAATTGTAGAGTCAATAAGTAGCTCCCTCGTTGAAAATTTGAGTAAATTATAATAATGACTTTGCGGCACCAGTTCATGTGCTGAAAACTGAACAAAAATCAATTTCCGATTTGATCACCTTACAAGGTAAAATCTGCGCTCAAATGAAAAATGCAACAATGTTGGCTTACGATATATTAGTATTTCACGTTAAATATCGAGTGCATTGCATAGACGATTTTTCGGCAACGAACGAATCGCTAAATAGAGTGAAATGCTATATCTACGCGTGTGACGACAAGTCCGTTGCTCCATTGAGTAGTGTCTATATTAGTGGTGGAAGTGGGTAAATTAAAAAGTCTGATATTTTTCAGAGAGTAACTTACTCTGAGTAAGTATGCGTTGAAACTACGTTGTAATTGTGATTGACAAAAGTTTATTTTTCTAATGATACCTACACTACCGTGCAAAAGTTTGGAACCACTAGGTATTTTTCATACAAATTGACCATTTTTGGTGGACTCATTAACATATTTCGGAAACACCTGCACTCTTGATATT